CCTTTCTAGAAGTTTACAAGAATTGTCTGTGCCGAGACTTAACCCGTCTACAAACAAGCAAGTGTTTCTACAAGGCCTCCAACCATGGCATTAATGGTCCATTATTTGAATAAAGCGCAATAATATTGGAGATTGAAAAGATGTCATGAAGATCGAGCCAGGGTGCTTGCCTTGAACCACACGTGTCTTTCTATGTAGGAGTCATCCGTATCATAGAAGGAACCTTTGGTTATACAAAGTACCTTATCTTTTGTAGATGCATTCAATCATCCAATGAACAAGTGGAATATAAAGCATTTAAAGCATGAAGAAGTTGCACNCGATATATAGGGATGTATATGTGCTCAACCTTGCAGCACTTGCGAAGAAGGAGCAAGTGGGTGTACACGACCTCCCGAAGTGAGGCATCTCTCTCTCTCTCCCTCTCCCTCTCCATGAGTGGATTTGGATTTGAAAATTGGGGATTTTGGAGTTAGGGTTTGTGGGCTTTCGACCCTCAAAATGAAAGCTTCTGAATTGTGGGAGTAGGTTCAAAGTTAATGAAAGAAACAATGTAGGCACTGCCAGAGACAAGACAGGCGAGTGACTAACATTGACGATCTGACAAAAGGAAGCCATGGAGGGCAAANTGAAGAATAAGTGAATCATGTCCCACCTTTCACGGCTTTGGTAAAACTCTAGAAAAGTGGAAGAGTTTCACTCTTCTNCGGATGCATCCAATAAGGAAGGCAGAGCACATTACTTTGGATGATGAAAGCAGCAACCAGAAAAATCCATCCTTAGTTCCCTAAGAGCCTCAAAGTATTTAAACAAAATCATTTTTAANTGGATGCATCCAATAAGGAAGGCAGAGCGCATTACTTTGGATGATGAAAGCAGCAACCAGTAAAATCCATCCTTAGTTCCCTAAGAGCCTCAAAGTATTTAAACAAAATCATTTTTAATTGCATGCTTGCACCTTCTTGCTAGGTTTTTCATTCTTTGTCTTTCGTATGTTTGACATATCTGATCAGAGGAATGCTGAGTCATATGAACTCTTCTCAACTCTTTACCCTAAATGTCCTTTACTAATGTAATTATTGGTTAGGCTTTCTTTGCATGCTCGAGTGCGTCTTTCTCAATCAATTCAGGCTTTGTTTGAGTTTTTGACACAACCAGAAAGCAAGCTATGTTAGAGTTGGTCCACTTGCTTTATTTGAACAGGAAAGATAGCCAAAGCTAACAATTTGAATCTTCACATAGAAGGCCTGCTTCCTTATACTCTTCCCTTCATTTGTTGAGTTGGAGGAACCCATAGGAGGCCCACCCCTTATCTCTTAATTGTTTTGGATACAATTTAGTTATATTATACATCACGGGCATGTTGGAAGTTTGTGCAATATCAAGAACTTTGCTAGCCTCTCTCTTGACCAGTGGAACTTTAATAGCTTGAGTTCACACCCAAATGAACTACTGCTAGCCACAGTCATTTGGGGTTGAAACAATGTTAATAGTAGTGGATGGAGGGGATCAAAAAGCCTAGGTAAAAATCAAGGGTACTAGCTCTTATGTTTCTTGCTTAGCTTTTTACGGTTTGAATTGAGTGAACAAGCAACACATTGCCTACTTGAAGGTGTAAAATTTGGGCGCTCCATTCGAGCTCTCACCCAAAGCTGTTAGTTAATTATTGCTTTTATAGGTAAATCATATCTGATTTTGAATGTGTTCTATATAGATGCTTTGATTATTAGAATACCCATCAATGATCTATTGTTGCTTTACGCCACTTTAACAATAAGGTATTCATTCAAGTGGCAGAGTTTGGTTTTGAAAGATAAAGATGAGACCTATTCTCAATATCAATTGAATGTTTACACCTGGTAATTGTGAACATATTGGTCAAAGTATCTGGTTGGCAATATAGTTTAGCATTGTTGCCTAGACATGCACAAAGAAGGTAGAGCATAGCGCCCTTGTCAATGGTCCAAATAAAGGAATGCAGCAGAAGGTGGGGAGATATCTCAACAGAAGTAGGAATTTGAAAGTTGGCTTCTTATTTGATTCTGGATAGATATTCTGATTGAAATTGTATGTGGCATGTAGACTTATAAATTTGAAATTAAGGCTATTTTTTAATAGAGAACAAGTGCAGGAACTTTTCTCTCCCCTTTTTTATTTCCCTTTTATTGGGTCCCCTTGTTGAAGTATAAATACATCAATTAGGTGGTGTTTGATAAAATTGAAAATTAAATAAGAAAAACAAAATTCTGAATTTTAAATGCTGAATTCTGAATTTTATAATCTAAAACTGTTTGGTATGTAGTGAATTGGCTCAAACTTATTGATAAGTATAAGGAACTGAAGTTTGAAAATAAATAATTTTTTAAATTTACCTTAAATTGTTTACTTTAAAATTCTTTATTAAATATGCAAATTATCCAACAAAAAAAATCATGACATATCACTGAAAATCATTAATCAGTAAATGATGATAACTTACATTAGGGTACAAAAAACATTTGTGTCATGATGACCATGCAATTCCATTTCCATTTCTCAACAAACTAGATTTCAGTTGTAAATCAAGTGATAAACATAATTGCAAGAACATGAGAGTTTCTATAATTCTATGTATTATGAGTGCATGAAGTCTTTTTGGGACCAAAAGCCGAACATTTTGAATGCAAACTCTCCAATAGTGACACCTATAGGAGGATGTGTTCTAAAGCCCATGAGATTTTTTTGTTTTTATTTTCTTCTAATTTTTTAATACTGGTGTAATCACAGACAAAGTGAGATAGATTATGAAAACACCGATATATAGGGATGTATATGTGCTCAACCTTGCAGCACTTGCAAAGAAGGAGCAAGTGGGTGTACACGACCTCCCGAAGTGAGGCATCTCTCTCTCTCTCCCTCTCCGTGAGTGGATTTGGATTTGAAAATTGGGGATTTTGGAGTTAGGGTTTGTGGGCTTTCGACCCTCAAAATGAAAGCTTCTGAATTGTGGGAGTAGGTTCAAAGTTAATGAAAGAAACAATGTAGGCACTGCCAGAGACAAGACAGGCGAGTGACTAACATTGACGATCTGACAAAAGGAAGCCATGGAGGGCAAAGTTGTCATACTGCAAAAAGTTATAAAACCCATCAGACTTGGGCGGGATTTCTAGCTGGCTCCTGTTGGTTTCCAAAAATATTTTTGTACTTATTTAAATATTTGCCAGTCTAAGGAGTTGCTGCATTGAATTCTGCATTTGTCTTTGGAATATACATCGTGCAATTTCATCTTTATTGCAAAAAACATAAACATCTTTTCATGCCATGAAGTAGAAACTTGTACTTGTTAACAACTTAGTTGTACACCTTAGTTGTTAGTATCGTACGATACGTTTCGATATATTATATGAAGAAAATGATTCGTATCACTTAAGTGTATGCATTTGTACTGTATTGTGCAATATATAATATGGTTCTTCCATTATGAGACGATACGTATGAGTCATCCAATACAGGGGAAATAGATCAATTTTTTTTTGGATTTTAACCAAAAAACGTGTATTCACATGGATTTATTTTTTTAAAACACTAGGGAGTAAAAGGATATCATTTTACTATCTAGGTTCCTTTAGTTAAAAAAAAAAAACTATTTAGGATTTTAAAAAACAGAAGTCTTCTTTTGTNTCGAGTGCGTCTTTCTCAATCAATTCAGGCTTTGTTTGAGTTTTTGACACAACCAGAAAGCAAGCTATGTTAGAGTTGGTCCACTTGCTTTATTTGAACAGGAAAGATAGCCAAAGCTAACAATTTGAATCTTCACATAGAAGGCCTGCTTCCTTATACTCTTCCCTTCATTTGTTGAGTTGGAGGAACCCATAGGAGGCCCACCCCTTATCTCTTAATTGTTTTGGATACAATTTAGTTACATTATACATCACGGGCATGTTGGAAGTTTGTGCAATATCAAGAACTTTGCTAGCCTCTCTCTTGACCAGTGGAACTTTAATAGCTTGAGTTCACACCCAAATGAACTACTGCTAGCCACAGTCATTTGGGGTTGAAACAATGTTAATAGTAGTGGATGGAGGGGATCAAAAAGCCTAGGTAAAAATCAAGGGTACTAGCTCTTATGTTTCTTGCTTAGCTTTTTACGGTTTGAATTGAGTGAACAAGCAACACATTGCCTACTTGAAGGTGTAAAATTTGGGCGCTCCATTCGAGCTCTCACCCAAAGCTGTTAGTTAATTATTGCTTTTATAGGTAAATCATATCTGACTTTGAATGTGTTCTATATAGATGCTTTGATTATTAGAATACCCATCAATGATCTATTGTTGCTTTACGCCACTTTAACAATAAGGTATTCATTCAAGTGGCAGAGTTTGGTTTTGAAAGATAAAGATGAGACCTATTCTCAATATCAATTGAATGTTTACACCTGGTAATTGTGAACATATTGGTCAAAGTATCTGGTTGGCAATATAGTTTAGCATTGTTGCCTAGACATGCACAAAGAAGGTAGAGCATAGCGCCCTTGTCAATGGTCCAAATAAAGGAATGCAGCAGAAGGTGGGGAGATATCTCAACAGAAGTAGGAATTTGAAAGTTGGCTTCTTATTTGATTCTGGATAGATATTCTGATTGAAATTGTATGTGGCATGTAGACTTATAAATTTGAAATTAAGGCTATGTTTTAATAGAGAACAAGTGCAGGAATTTTTCTCTCCCCTTTTTTATTTCCCTTTTATTGGGTCCCCTTGTTGAAGTATAAATACATCAATTAGGTGGTGTTTGATAAAATTGAAAATTAAATAAGAAAAACAAAATTCTGAATTTTAAATGCTGAATTCTGAATTTTATAATCTAAAACTGTTTGGTATGTAGTGAATTGGCTCAAACTTATTGATAAGTATAAGGAACTGAAGTTTGAAAATAAATAATTTTTTAAATTTACCTTAAATTGTTTACTTTAAAATTCTTTATTAAATATGCAAATTATCCAACAAAAAAAATCATGACATATCACTGAAAATCATTAATCAGTAAATGATGATAACTTACATTAGGGTACAAAAAACATTTGTGTCATGATGACCATGCAATTCCATTTCCATTTCTCAACAAACTAGATTTCAGTTGTAAATCAAGTGATAAACATAATTGCAAGAACATGAGAGTTTCTATAATTCTATGTATTATGAGTGCATGAAGTCTTTTTGGGACCAAAAGCCGAACATTTTGAATGCAAACTCTCCAATAGTGACACCTATAGGAGGATGTGTTCTAAAGCCCATGAGATTTTTTTGTTTTTATTTTCTTCTAATTTTTTAATACTGGTGTAATCACAGACAAAGTGAGATAGATTATGAAAACACCGATATATAGGGATGTATATGTGCTCAACCTTGCAGCACTTGCAAAGAAGGAGCAAGTGGGTGTACACGACCTCCCGAAGTGAGGCATCTCTCTCTCTCTCCCTCTCCGTGAGTGGATTTGGATTTGAAAATTGGGGATTTTGGAGTTAGGGTTTGTGGGCTTTCGACCCTCAAAATGAAAGCTTCTGAATTGTGGGAGTAGGTTCAAAGTTGATGAAAGAAACAATGTAGGCACTGCCAGAGACAAGACAGGCGAGTGACTAACATTGACGATCTGACAAAAGGAAGCCATGGAGGGCAAAGTTGTCATACTGCAAAAAGTTATAAAACCCATCAGACTTGGGCGGGATTTCTAGCTGGCTCCTGTTGGTTTCCAAAAATATTTTTGTACTTATTTAAATATTTGCCAGTCTAAGGAGTTGCTGCATTGAATTCTGCATTTGTCTTTGGAATATACATCGTGCGATTTCATCTTTATTGCAAAAAACATAAACATCTTTTCATGCCATGAAGTAGAAACTTGTACTTGTTAACAACTTAGTTGTACACCTTAGTTGTTAGTATCGTACGATACGTTTCGATATATTATATGAAGAAAATGATTCGTATCACTTAAGTGTATGCATTTGTACTGTATTGTGCAATATATAATATGGTTCTTCCATTATGAGACGATACGTATGAGTCATCCAATACAGGGGAAATAGATCAATTTTTTTTTGGATTTTAACCAAAAAACGTGTATTCACATGGATTTATTTTTTTAAAACACTAGGGAGTAAAAGGATATCATTTTACTATCTAGGTTCCTTTAGTTAAAAAAAAAAAACTATTTAGGATTTTAAAAAACAGAAGTCTTCTTTTGTTGTTTGTTCTATCACAATAGCATATATCTGATTGTTAAAAGTGACATACTCTGGCACCTCTAGATGTTTGAAGTTAGAACTCTCAAAATTTTGATATTGATGAATTATGTTAGCAATTGAAATACTTAGATTGTTAATTTTTAATTTTGGTGCTTGTGGTCTCTTTAAAATTATTTAATGTGAGAAATTTGTGGTGTAATGAAATGTTATTATGATCTTTTTTATAGGTCTATTTATGTTTTAATTTTTTTTATAAAATTGCATATATCTTACGATACACTATTTTTTAAAATCGATGCATATTTTGACGACCTTAGATGTGAATGGTTCATACTATAATAGCATAGATTACCAATTGTGTTTGGCCAAACAACAATATTGAAGTTATTTTTGGTTTCTTTTTTCTCTTTACATGCTTGCAGCTTTCCCCTGAGGTGGAGTTGGCGTTGCTGCAACAAGTGCTGAATCTCACACCAGAGCAGTTAAGTTCACTGCCACCAGATCAGCAGCAACAAGTCATTCAGCTCCAGCAGATGCTGCGGCGGCGGACTTAGTTGACAGGTTCACACATCATTAGGTCTCTACACAAGCCACTACAATGCTCACAATTTAACTTTTCCCTATTTTTCTGGCTAAAGGGCTTATTATTACCTCATTGTTTTCAGAGGGTATAAAATTATTGGCAGATCTTATTTGGTATTGTAAAGACAGAGAACTGTAAAATTCATAAATGGTTGGGCTATTGTGGTTAGAAAATACCAATGAAATCAAAGGAAAAAGTAAAATTTTTGGTAATTTTTGAGTTCCAGAAATTTGAGATTAGAGTTCCCTTTTCCGTATTTCAAGCTTACCATTGTTCCCATTTTCGAAGTTGCTTGTGCTTTTCTTGCTCCAATACTTCATCTGCCTTTAACACCAATTCCTTTGGTTCTTTGTATCAGCTGAAATAAAACAAGCTCAAGGTTTGTTGTGGTCCAATTTGGCCTTCAGTATAACCTAGTTACTGTTTGGTAATATTTTTTTTTTTTAGGTACTGTCTCACTTTTGTGTTTTTTTATAGGGCATTTGCATTTTATACATTTGCTTTTTTATTTTTCCTTGTCCCAGCTTACGCCTTTTTTCCAAGTTTAATTATATGTATTGAACCATGTACACACCCTGTTTGTTTCGTGATTTATGGATCTACTAGATCTACTACTCACTTCAATCAAAAAGCCATGTTCATATGTTGGTGCTCAATCTAGTGGTATTTTTATGGGGATTCTATTTATCTCCGTAGGATTCTATTCAAGATCTTTGCAGTTTGTTTCAAATTTAACAAAGCGTTATCAAATGTAACTTAACTTGTTAATGATGCTTGAAGTCTCCGTGATTTGTACAATTGAGGATAGCAGAATTCTTGATGAGAAGCATGTTATTGTAGGATAATTATTGTTTTGTGGTTTAGGTACATAATTCAAGGCAAGCATGCTGTGTCCTACCTCTAGCTATACCTTGCACAAGATACATTCATTCATAATACAACAGGGAACTACTGATGAGCAGCAAAGAGTTCATGCAGCTGCATCGACACAGGTAGAGACCATCTTGATGACATAAATAGGATCTCCCACTTTGATTGTCTTTTCCTTCATTTGATTTTGGGAGTCTGGGCAGACCAAGTTCTGTCCAAAGTAGACCTGGAAAACCATTATACTGTAAATCATTCACACTCATGGCGGAATATAATGAATGTTAGTTTTTTTTTTTCCTTTTTGTGTTCTGGCAAAGTAACGTTTACAGATTTTTTACCCTCCCCTGCTGTTTCCGGGTTGGACGCAAGACCTTATCTGACCTGAACTTCATGAGAGTTTCAGTAGGCTCCGAGCCTGCTATTGCAGTATCTTGATTGATTGTGGGTACCTGCAATGATGAGGAGGTTTCCCTATACAAAGAAGTTCTGACACTACAAAAACCAACAAAGTTGACTGTCCACAATTATCAAATGTTATTTTCGTCACTGACATCAATGTAAAATTTTATATATTTTTAAATGATTTGGCAACATTAACACTAATTACAAAAGAATGCAGCAACCATTGTAACAGATTCAGAGTCTCCAGATAACAGGTCAACTGCAATAATCCAGGCGGAAAATGCAGAAGGATAATCTTTTACCTTACAGCGGGAACATAGCTTGACACCAAGAAATGTTAACTTGTTTATCCTGATCTCCTTCCACAAATCCTCAGAAAATGGTTCACAACCATCAACAAGGATGCTATAACAAAGTAAAAAAATGTTAAGTGATTTCACTATTAGGATTGCGTTGACTAATATTAGATCATATCACGTATGATCAAAAGAAAGAAGAAAAAAAATGTTGAAGGCTTTTAAATGAAGTATAGAAAAAACGATGTTGTCCAGAATGTCATGTCATAAGTATCCAAAGCAGTATCATGCTCTAGGAGAAGCTAGCTTAGTTCATTCAAACAGTACAGTGTCAGTGACACAAGATGCTTACATGTTTTACTTGAAAAATGAGATACGAGTCCAAACACATACTTGGGCCTAAAACGGTTTACTGTCAAAGGCTCCTTGAGAAGCTTGTTCAGTGCATCCAATGATCCCTGTCAAAGAAACATTGAAAAAGCCAACATGTAACATTCTAGTCGAAAGCATGGTAATTTAAACTTAGTATTGCCTAACCTGGGATAGCAGGAGGAACGNAATTTCATTTTTATTGCAAAAAACAGAAACATCTTTTCATGCCATGAAGTAAAACTTGTACTCGTTAACAACTTAGTTGTACACCTTAGTTGTTAGTAACGTACGATACGTTTCAATATATTATAGGAAGAAAATGATACATATTACTTAAGTATGCATTTATACTGTACTGTGCAATATACAATATGGTTCTTCCGATATGAGATGATACATACGAGTCATCCAATACAGGGGAAATAGATCAATTTTTTTTTGGATTTTAACCAAAAACCGTGTATTCACATGGATTTATTTTTTTTAAACACTAGGGAGTAAAAGGACATCATTTTACTATCTAGGTTCCTTTAGTTAAAAAAAAAACTATTTAGGATTTTAAAAAACAGAAGTCTTCTTTTGTTGTTTGTTCTATCACAATAGCATATCTTTGATTGTTAAAAGTGACATACTCTGGCTCCTCTAGATGTTTGAAGTTAGAACTCTCAAAATTTTGATATTGATAAATTATGTTAGCAACTGGAATACTTAGATTGTTAATTTTTAATTTTGGTGCTTGTGGTCTCTTTAAAATTATTTAATGTGAGAAATTTGTGGTGTAATGAAATGTTATTATGATTTTTTTTATAGGTCTATTTATGTTTTAATTTTTTTTATAAAATTGCATATATCTTACAATACACTATTTTTGAAAAACGATGCATATTTTGACGACCTTAGATGTGAATGGTTCATACTATAATAGCATAGATTACCAATTGTGTTTGGCCAAACAACAATATTGAAGTTATTTTTGGTTTCTTTTTTCTCTTTACATGCTTGCAGCTTTCCCCTGAGGTGGAGTTGGCGTTGCTGCAACAAGTGCTGAATCTCACACCAGAGCAGTTAAGTTCACTGCCACCAGATCAGCAGCAACAAGTCATTCAGCTCCAGCAGATGCTTCGGCAGCGGACTTAGTTGACAGGTTCACACATCATTAGGTCTCTACACAAGCCACTACAATGCTCACAATTTATAAAGGGCTTATTATTACCTCATTGTTTTCAGAGGGTATAAAATTATTGGCAGATCTTATTTGGTATTGTAAAGACAGAGAACTGTAAAATTCATAAATGGTTGGGCTATTGTGGTTAGAAAATACCAATGAAATCAAAGGAAAAAGTAAAATTTTTGGTAATTTTTGAGTTCAAGAAATTTGAGATTAGAGTTCCCTTTTCCGTATTTCAAGCTTACCATTGTTCCCATTTTCGAAGTTGCTTGTGCTTTTCTTGGTCCAATACTTCATCTGCCTTTAACACCAATTCCTTTGGTTCTTTGTATCAGCTGAAATAAAACAAGCTCAAGGTTTGTTGTGGTCCAATTTGGCCTTCAGTATAACCTAGTTACTGTTTGGTAATATTTTTTTTTTTTAGGTACTGTCTCACTTTTGTGTTTTTTTATAGGGCATTTGCATTTTATACATTTGCTTTTTTATTTTTCCTTGTCCCAGCTTACGCCTTTTTTCCAAGTTTAATTATATGTATTGAACCATGTACACACCCTGTTTGTTTCGTGATTTATGGATCTACTAGATCTACTACTCACTTCAATCAAAAAGCCATGTTCATATGTTGGTGCTCAATCTAGTGGTATTTTTATGGGGATTCTATTTATCTCCGTAGGATTCTATTCAAGATCTTTGCAGTTTGTTTCAAATTTAACAAAGCGTTATCAAATGTAACTTAACTTGTTAATGATGCTTGAAGTCTCCGTGATTTGTACAATTGAGGATAGCAGAATTCTTGATGAGAAGCATGTTATTGTAGGATAATTATTGTTTTGTGGTTTAGGTACATAATTCAAGGCAAGCATGCTGTGTCCTACCTCTAGCTATACCTTGCACAAGATACATTCATTCATAATACAACAGGGAACTACTGATGAGCAGCAAAGAGTTCATGCAGCTGCATCGACACAGGTAGAGACCATCTTGATGACATAAATAGGATCTCCCACTTTGATTGTCTTTTCCTTCATTTGATTTTGGGAGTCTGGGCAGACCAAGTTCTGTCCAAAGTAGACCTGGAAAACCATTATACTGTAAATCATTCACACTCATGGCGGAATATAATGAATGTTAGTTTTTTTTTTTCCTTTTTGTGTTCTGGCAAAGTAACGTTTACAGATTTTTTACCCTCCCCTGCTGTTTCCGGGTTGGACGCAAGACCTTATCTGACCTGAACTTCATGAGAGTTTCAGTAGGCTCCGAGCCTGCTATTGCAGTATCTTGATTGATTGTGGGTACCTGCAATGATGAGGAGGTTTCCCTATACAAAGAAGTTCTGACACTACAAAAATCAACAAAGTTGACTGTCCACAATTATCAAATGTTATTTTCGTCACTGACATCAATGTAAAATTTTATATATTTTTAAATGATTTGGCAACATTAACACTAATTACAAAAGAATGCAGCAACCATTGTAACAGATTCAGAGTCTCCAGATAACAGGTCAACTGCAATAATCCAGGCGGAAAATGCAGAAGGATAATCTTTTACCTTACAGCGGGAACATAGCTTGACACCAAGAAATGTTAACTTGTTTATCCTGATCTCCTTCCACAAATCCTCAGAAAATGGTTCACAACCATCAACAAGGATGCTATAACAAAGTAAAAAAATGTTAAAGTGATTTCACTATTAGGATTGCGTTGACTAATATTAGATCATATCACGTATGATCAAAAGAAAGAAGAAAAAAAATGTTGAAGGCTTTTAAATGAAGTATAGAAAAAACGATGTTGTCCAGAATGTCATGTCATAAGTATCCAAAGCAGTATCATGCTCTAGGAGAAGCTAGCTTAGTTCATTCAAACAGTACAGTGTCAGTGACACAAGATGCTTACATGTTTTACTTGAAAAATGAGATACGAGTCCAAACACATACTTGGGCCTAAAACGGTTTACTGTCAAAGGCTCCTTGAGAAGCTTGTTCAGTGCATCCAATGATCCCTGTCAAAGAAACATTGAAAAAGCCAACATGTAACATTCTAGTCGAAAGCATGGTAATTTAAACTTAGTATTGCCTAACCTGGGATAGCAGGAGGAACGGATACTGGTCAGAAAACATGACTTTGTATCCAGGTGCATAATTAGGGTCCACGGCCCTGGTTTCTGACACTGCATCAGTGTAAAAAATCAGCTGTTCTGAGTAACGGACACCTTATTCAACATCACGTGGTAAAAAGATAGTATTAAGCTCTACGATGGACAGAACATCTAAATATAATTTGGAGAATTTCAAATACTCTGGAAACTACTGGAAAAATAGACAACGTGAATAAAATTTGGCTACTTTTTTTTCCCAAGCATAAACAAATATGCCATGTTTGAGCAACCCAAACCTATATTTGCTTACGCCTAATATTATCTGAAACCATTTATAATTATACATCCACACTTCCATTGTTGATTAATACATATTTATATTCGTTATACAAGGTCCAAAAAAATCGCTTTGGGGCTAGGGTTACAATTTAGGATTGGAAATTAAGGGGATCTAAAACGCAAACCCATGTTGTCTAGGGTCGTCTATGGTTGAGTTCTGCTAACTGTGCACTAGAGCACGATTTTTGCAATCAGAATCATTTGCTGGGAAATATAAATCAGGTGATAGAACTCGTGCTAAAACAACAAACACATACTGCAACAAAGAAGCTTCTCTCTATTCATGAAAAGTGTTAGAAGCAGACAAACCAAGAAATTAACAATCCNATGCTAACTGTGCACTAGAGCACGATTTTTGCAATCAGAATCATTTGCTGGGAAATATAAATCAGGTGATAGAACTTGTGCTAAAACAACAAACACATACTGCAACAAAGATGCTTCTCTCTATTCATGAAAAGTGTTAGAAGCAGACAAACCAAGAAATTAACAATCCTGGCTATAATGTATGTTATTGTTTCAGAAAATGATTTTCTGATAAAAGAATAGGAATCTCATTGAGTTTTATTCAGAATTGCAAAAGAGTTAGATGTACGTAGAAACAATTATAGGCCTGAAGTTGCATGCGTAGGGTACAACAACAGATTAAGCACTACCTTCATTGAAACGCACTAGCCGACTCGGTTTCCCAAGATAATAAGAGAACCATTTTGATGCTTCAGCTCCCTCATCAAATGCCGAACCCGACCACTCCCATACTGAGACGCCATCAGCTATCTCACTTGGTTTACTCAATGGAACCTTCAGGACATCCATCCCAGGGGCCTTTATCACTGTCAAAGAGAGTAAACTAAAAATCATTACTAAGATTACATCACTGTAGCTATCTTGAAGCACAAACTTACCTGATTCATGTAAAACTTGAAACCCGTCAGACAGTGGTAAGGAGAAGAGGAAGAAGATAAACATTAAGGCAACAATCAAGTTTCCACATCCTTCGCTTCCACTATTTTATCCATCATTGAATATTTGGAGGGCAAAAGTGTCTTTAAAGGTGCAAGTGTGTGCATGAATAATTTCACATGGTAAGATCAGTCAAATGAAATGCTTCAAAAGAGAAGACCAACACTTTGTCTTCAACTGCAATGGTGTGTTATGTATAGTGACGATAGTGAGAGTATAGATCATTTATTTTTGGAATGTCTTTTAGCGTATGCAACATGGAATAAGCTTTTTGACTTTATCGGAGTTGAGTGGGTTTCTCCAAGGAATATGGTATCTATGTTTTGCTTGGAAGATATGGGCTTTGGGAATAATAGGAAATGGCAGACTATTTGACAATCGCTCGTAGAATTATTTGTTTCCCGCATTTATCGGTTTATTTCCCGCTCACTTGCTATGTTATGAGTGATTTGTAAGGAGAGGAACATGAGGATTTTTGAAGATATATGTGAAGATTTTGAAGGTCAATGGGAAAGACTTTATTTTTTGGCTTCTTTTTGAGCAATGTTCGAGGAGTTTCAAGATATACCTTAACAAGCTGGAAAGCTACATGCGGCTTGTAATGTTGGTTATTCTTTTTTCTTTCTAAAAACTTGTCTTGTGGTGTGTCCACACTTGATGGGGTTTTCTTGTAATATTTCCATTAGTTATCATAAAGAGTGTTTCTTATCAAAAAAAAAAAAAAAATTGTACATCTCAATCTAGATTAGAATCCAACAGCCAACGAGCATGGACAATCAAGCTCATGTTGTGCATATAAGAACAAGCATCATATTAAAGGGGAAAAAAAGAGAACCTAGAAATTGTAGTGGTACCATTACGAGTGAGATTTTACCAATTAATGTAAGCAATCCCGTTCATGCATCATATATACAAGCTTAAATTGAAAATACAAATAATTGGGAATTCCTTGGCTTATTTCATTTATAAAGACAACTTTAAGCATAATCCATCAACATATTCATATGATAAGGGAAAAAAGCATAAAAATTGAAATAATATGCACCTACATAGTAGTTTGGTCTGGCGAGCAAAACAGGTCCTCAAGGTCTATATTAGAAGAGGAAGAGAGAGAGAGAGAGAGAGAGTTTAAGGATGTCAAGTTTAACAATGAGGAGTCAAGCCAGGCTGAAATGTCAAATGAAATTGAAAATATCCGGAGAAAAACTGAACAGTTTCACAGAAACATAAGGAAATTTGAGAGATTTTGTGGGCAAAACTGCAATGTTGTAATTGACGGCATATTGCAACAGAAGCAGCNGTGATTTCACTATTAGGATTGCGTTGACTAATATTAGATCATATCACGTATGATCAAAGGAAAGAAGAAAAAAAATGTTGAAGGCTTTTAAATGAAGTATAGAAAAAACGATGTTGTCCAGAATGTCATGCCATAAGTATCCAAAGCAGTATCATGCTCTAGGAGAAGCTAGCTTAGTTCATTCAAACAGTACAGTGTCAGTGACACAAGATGCTTACATGTTTTACTTGAAAAATGAGATACGAGTCCAAACACATACTTGGGCCTAAAACGGTTTACTGTCAAAGGCTCCTTGAGAAGCTTGTTCAGTGCATCCAATGATCCCTGTCAAAGAAACATTGAAAAAGCCAACATGTAACATTCTAGTCGAAAGCATGGTAATTTAAACTTAGTATTGCCTAACCTGGGATAGCAGGAGGAACGGATACTGGTCAGAAAACATGACTTTGTATCCAGGTGCATAATTAGGGTCCACGGCCCTGGTTTCTGACACTGCATCAGTGTAAAAAATCAGCTGTTCTGAGTAACGGACACCTTATTCAACATCACGTGGTAAAAAGATAGTATTAAGCTCTACGATGGACAGAACATCTAAATATAATTTGGAGAATTTCAAATACTCTGGAAACTACTGGAAAAATAGACAACGTGAATAAAATTTGGCTACTTTTTTTTCCCAAGCATAAACAAATATGCCATGTTTGAGCAACCCAAACCTATATTTGCTTACGCCTAATATTATCTGAAACCATTTATAATTATACATCCACACTTCCATTGTTGATTAATACATATTTATATTCGTGATACAAGGTCCAAAAAAATCGCTTTGGGGCTAGGGTTACAATTTAGGATTGGAAATTAAGGGGATCTAAAACGCAAACCCATGTTGTCTAGGGTCGTCTATGGTTGAGTTCTGCTAACTGTGCACTAGAGCACGATTTTTGCAATCAGAATCATTTGCTGGGAAATATAAATCAGGTGATAGAACTCGTGCTAAAACAACAAACACATACTGCAACAAAGAAGCTTCTCTCTATTCATGAAAAGTGTTAGAAGCAGACAAACCAAGAAATTAACAATCCTGGCTATAATGTATGTTATTGTTTCAGAAAATGATTTTCTGATAAAAGAATAGGAATCTCATTGAGTTTTATTCAGAATTGCAAAAGAGTTAGATGTACGTAGAAAAAATTATAGGCCTGAAGTTGCATGCGTAGGGTACAACAACAGATTAAGCACTACCTTCATTGAAACGCACTAGCCGACTCGGTTTCCCAAGATAATAAGAGAACCATTTTGATGCTTCAGCTCCCTCATCAAATGCCGAACCCGACCACTCCCATACTGAGACGCCATCAGAAATCTCACTTGGTTTACTCAATGAAACCTTCAGGACATCCGTCCCAGGGGCCTTTATCACTGTCGAAGAGTAACTACAGATCATTACTAAGATTACATCTCCAACGTTATTTTGAAGCAGGACAAATTCTTCAGGAAAAAAAAAAAGAAACTTACCTGATTCATGTAAAACTTGAAACCCCCCACAAAATGGCAAGGAGAAGAAGGAGATGGTAATCATTTAGGCAGCAATCNAAAAAAAAAAAAAAATTGTACATCTCAATCTAGATTAGAATCCAACAGCCAACGAGCATGGACAATCAAGCTCATGTTGTGCATATAAGAACAAGCATCATATTAAAGGGGAAAAAAAGAGAACCTAGAAATTGTAGTGGTACCATTACGAGTGAGATTTTACCAATTAATGTAAGCAATCCCGTTCATGCATCATATATACAAGCTTAAATTGAAAATACAAATAATTGGGAATTCCTTGGCTTATTTCATTTATAAAGACAACTTTAAGCATAATCCATCAACATATTCATATGATAAGGGAAAAAAGCATAAAAATTGAAATAATATGCACCTACATAGTAGTTTGGTCTGGCGAGCAAAACAGGTCCTCAAGGTCTATATTAGAAGAGGAAGAGAGAGAGAGAGAGAGAGAGTTTAAGGATGTCAAGTTTAACAATGAGGAGTCAAGCCAGGCTGAAATGTCAAATGAAATTGAAAATATCCGGAGAAAAACTGAACAGTTTCACAGAAACATAAGGAAATTTGAGAGATTTTGTGGGCAAAACTGCAATGTTGTAATTGACGGCATATTGCAACAGAAGCAGCCTTCAATTGAGCAAGAAATGCTAGTAGTAGTTTTTAAATTTCAAATCAAATCTATAGAATGGAAATATTATTCCATCATCAAAACATAGAGTTGAACCCTGTTTAGTTATGAACAGAGATATCAGAACTCCAGGCATATCATATGATATTAGAACCAAGTATTCTTAACAAAAATAAAAATAATAGTCTACTATTTGGAGATAGAAAAGTTGACATTAGAAATCTTGCTTTTACCCAGATATGAGCTTTTAGTAGGTTCCCAATTCTCAGAAAATGCCTCATTTGGCAGAGTCCCTTCAACTAGCGCAAGCTTTGGTTCCACCCTTTGAGTGTATGCCCTGCCCTTGGAATTCACAACCAGCCACTGTCGATCCCAGCGAAATCCTGCATATTCAAGCACAGAAGAAACTGAGGCATATCTGCTGGTAGAAGAACCACAATCTATTCCTTGGCATACCAGTTTTTGTGTCTATTAAATTGAATCAACCAAAAACATTCACCACATCACTGAAGGAGTAATTTTATTATTCATCAATATCCATGAAAATACTAAATAATAGACAATAACCAATAAAATTATCACTGTTGCAAGTATAAAACCAAAAACTACAATTTCGAGCAGCTGCATTAAGCATAACTATTTGTTACTAAATTTAACCATCAAGAATTCAGCCATATATTGAATAAAAAAATTTAGCCATATTCTTCAAATTTTGCAAAGATTCCTCAATTACTTGTGTAAAATTGAGTAATCTTGCAAAAATGATAAAATTTACTCTGCTATTAATTTTCTCTAAAGCTCATCTGGTGGGAGTATTGCAACCACATAAATACCGGTTAGACAATTTCAAGCCAAATTTGCATGTAGCATCATGCAACCAATGCAATTTCAAGAACTCTGGTTGAAACCTACAAAACCTTCAAGGGAAATACTAGGTATAGAAGGAGATACGTACCAAAAATAGGACAAATTATAATTCATTTGAGTCAAGTTAGGAATAAAAAAGACTAGTTACGATTCAATCTTACCAATTTACAACTAGAACAACCTTGGGATTGATGCTAAAGTGTTGTGATCCCACCCAAACGACGTCATTTAGTTGTAACCTCACCAGATTGAATCATAATTGTAAATTTGCAAATATACCCGAAAATAACTCTCAAATATTGTAATATCGTTGAAGCAATATGCGAGATTGTCATATTAAGGTAAGCTAAGACCAATGAACAAGTTTTTCCTAAATTCAATGGATAATTTTGTATGCACCAAATTATTGTTTATTGTTGGATGATAGTGGTCCCCCCCTTATCCAACGGCTAGCAATGATTTGGTGCACACTTTTGGTGTGCATAGCATTGCTTAACTTCAATTACTCATCAATCATCATTGACGCATAAAGAGAAGATAATTGGGTCAATTAGTTCTTTGAGCTAAGTAAGTCAACATCTAAAATATTAGAGTAATGCTATTTAGATCTAAAAATCTGATATAATCTACTAATTTAGTTTCATTGTAACTGTTGGATTAACATCAAGTTCTAATAATATTTAATAAAATTCATAGTTAATCCAATAGTTATAGTGAATTATCCCAATAATATTCCTCAAAAGATTATTAACACAAGTCAAATTTCAAGAAAGACTTTGAAACACGCAAGTTATGTATTACATGTAGTTGGGTTTGGGGAAATAAAGGATTTACACAATGAAAAACAAGAAACCCAAAAAATGTTGAGGTCATACCGGTGGATGTGAGAGCTGCTTGAGAAATAGAAATTCCACGACAGGATTTGATCGGGTATATGAAGATCGACGTTACTTTTGCTGTTGTGTGCTCTGCCATCTCTCTCCCACTCTCACTCTCTTTTCCTCTCTCTCTCTCTCTCTCTACTGAATGTTGGGTACCAAATAGCAACGTTCATATGTTTCCAAATTTATATAACTGGTTCATTTGTAAGGAGTAAAAGTATCAATCTATGACATTTTTTAAATAAATTTATTAAAATTATGATATTTTTGAATTTATTTATTAAATTATAATACTTTTTAAAAAATAAGTCTTTTGAGCTCACTTTTATAAAAAAATGGAGTTGTGTAAAAAAAAATGAATTTACCGACCCCATTTCTAATAAAAAGCATAATAAAAAAAACGAGGTTGATAGCCCCATATTTATTAGAANAAAATGCTGATTGGGTAGAATCCTCCTCTGATAAACAATCTATTGTATCTTTTTGGGAGATAATTTAGTCATGTGTAAGGGTAAAAAACAGATGGTGGTGGTACGGTCTAGTGCAAAAGCTGAGTACAGGGCAATGTCTCGCNTTCCAAATTTATATAACTGGTTCATTTGTAAGGAGTAAAAGTATCAATCTATGACATTTTTTAAATAAATTTATTAAAATTATGATATTTTTGAATTTATTTATTAAATTATAATACTTTTTAAAAAATAAGTCTTTTGAGCTCACTTTTATAAAAAAATGGAGTTGTGTAAAAAAAAATGAATTTACCGACCCCATTTCTAATAAAAAGCATAATAAAAAAAACGAGGTTGATAGCCCCATATTTATTAGAAAGTGTGAGATTGGCAGTCACGTTTTTAACGGCAATCCAAGAGTTTCACTATTAAGGAATTAATGATTGCCTTATAATGGAGTAAGCAGACAAGGCCCATTCCCCAATGTTATCCAAATTGTTGCATGGCACGTGGGCTTGTTGGCTTTGTTGGTGTGGACAAAGTTAAGTGCAATGACTTTGGACAGCGGATCAGGTGATGTTGACAGGTAACGAGAAAATGAAGGTGCAGTGCTCGATTTCATATTAAAAAAATAAAAATATTTCATTCACACTTGTTTAATTAAAAAAATTATTTATACTCTTAATCTCTAAATATTTAATTGTTACGTGTATATAATATTTGTTACTTTAATTCATCAAAGAGTGATATTTATATTGGATCAATAAACTCGATAAATTGAGAGACGATGATATTTGTATGACAAAAATTAAATATTAAAAAAAATCACATCTAATATTTAAATGAGTTGATGATGTCCTCTTGAGAAAGTTCATAAGTTTTGTTCATGTCAAACTCTATAGGTGGATTTAATTATTTAACATAACAAATAAGTTGAGTGGTAAGGTCTCAAGGAATAAAAAAAGTCAATTAAATATAATTGTCAGTAATGTATTTAATTGATGAATATCTATAATCTTAAATATGGGGAGATTATTAAGCATATAATAATAAGGAGTTCGAATATAATTTTGAGATAAGACCCAAGAGATTAATAATAAGTTTTTAGTGGACTGACTTATTATTAACGAGATGTATGATGTTTGTTTTGAGTTGAACATAGAAATCCTAAGCTCGTTGGGAGCCCCATCCTTATTTCTCCTTAGCGTCTCTGTTGTAGCCTATATATAGATGTCTAGGTTCTCTGTTTCAGCATCCTATCCTTACTCACGTTTTTTAGGGAGGCTGAAAGAGAAATCAAGGATTTGGAGGGCTTGACAGCCTATACTACATCCGAATTCTGACATTGGAGGATATACGACAGAAGATCACTAGGTTTGTTGAGCTGTAGTCATTATTCTGTTCTAAGTTCGTGCTAAGACGAGATCAATCCTGAGGGATCTCGAAGGTAAACCCTAATTCCACCTTGTAGGGTTTTAAAGAAATTTTTTTGATATTCGATACATACGCGCTGTCAATGGCTCTTGGAATTTTCGTTCCAACAGTTTTTCCTACCGGTAGGTCCCTACACTCCTACCAGTAGGTCAAGTCCTAGTATCTCCTCCTACTAGTAGATACTTGTCATTCTACCGATAGGTCAAGTCCGAGAGAGCTCTTCCTACCGGTATGAATGCCCAGATTCCTACCCCCTTTTTTTCCAACTCCAAGGTTACGTTTTCTAATCTTAGTGTTGCATCCCTATATACATTTAGTCATATATATATTTCACATAAAACACATAACACATCACATGTAATATGCAATGCTCAATGGATGCAATGGTGTAGACCCATGCCCCGCAAACCTAAGTAAATCGAGAACATAGGCTCTGATACCAAGTTGTGATTCCCCAAATTTTTGGTACCACTTAACCATTAATTAAACTATGGATTACCCTTGATTACCGTTGTTATGCTCTGATACTAAGTTGTGACGCTTTGATTCCCAGGGGTCCCATTTAACCCGTGATCACCCATCAACTCGAGAAATATCCGTGATTGTCGTATAACCTAATACCACGCCGTTATGCCCAATTTATCGGGATTCATAACTTAAATAAAATTTGAGCAAAGTCTCTTTTGTATGAGGAGCTCGACCTAATACACAACTCATGCATTTATACAATATTAACCACACCGGGTCTATTCATCAAATTCAATCACATAGCATTGAATACTAATTCATAACCATTGTCTATGTATACATTTAGTCATAAAAGAATAAATGTCCAAAAGAGTCTCATATACATGTCTTAATTCAAATACAAGTTTTGCTTAAGAAATTTATACAAGGTCAATGTAAATGGAAACAACAACTAAAACATCAAAAATAAGAGCCACAGTTCGGCTGTGTCGTCAAAGCAGGCCCAAGTTAGGGCTTCCTACGGATGTATGTCCGATACATGAAATATATTCCCATAAAGGATAAGTCTTATTCAATAGGGTATCTCCTATGCAGATCACCTCCTAGCCCACATACATATGAAATGTCACATGCAAACATCATGTCAAACATCCATTCAAATATAAATATTTTATAAACGAATGCTAAAATTTCATGCCATGCTATGAGATGAGAACTCACACATGCAATGCAATAAGGAGCCCCACTTGGCTCCCATAATGTGTACTATGCCATGCGTATACATCTGAGCATTCTAAACTCTCGCCATTAATGTTAGACATTCAATGACTATTTTATAAAATATCTGTCTTTCTGGGGTAGGTATTTATGGATTTTCACCAGCAGTCACCAAACTGACACAAAATTTATGGACTTCCACTGATGGTTCCATATACACCGACACACTTTATGGACTCAATACTAACGAAAGTGCGTATCCAAAATTGATGGGTCTTGTACCCGAGGGAGAATCTAGCTCTTCTTACTAATTTCATCACTCTTTTTAATGCAAACCCGTGCGACTTAGTCAGACCTAGGTCCAACTTTTTCGAGCCTATGTATCCACCCACCAAGAATGGTGTTTGACTAAAAATATGCACACATACCCACACTTATCTCAGATGCACACGAATGTGATGTTGCCCATGCATATGTAAATATAATATACAGTTGCAATTCATATCATATCATAAAGCATATAATAAACAGTCTATTTTTCACAACATTCCCAAGTATGTCATGTATGATTTCAATCCAAATAACACACTTGAAGCCTAAGCATTTCATCAAACACTTAGTGGACATAAAATATAAACACATAGCATACACAAACAAGTCATTCTATCAAACCCAAACACCTTACTACCGGTAGGTCGTGCCTCTTCTACCGGTATGTTTTCATTTTCGAAACCAAACCCAAATCAAGCTAAAATGGGTTTTAACATATTCATATACTCATTTTTCATACCCTAGATACACTAGGTGTGAGCTAACATATGAGATTACATCTCTATAGCCCTACCAATTTCATATTGCAACTCTAAGTTGAAAGTAAACCTAGATAGGAGAGAATCCTACCTCTTGTAGCGTGAGTGATGTAGGAAAGCTCCTTTGAACGCTTAAACAAAGATTTGTTCAACCTTTGGGCATAACTCCAATTTTTGAAATGTATCATAATTAAGCGTGGATGGTACCCACACATAGCCCTCATCGTTGTGAGCAACTTTAGTTCTTGCTCTAAGGCGAATAGTCGCTCAGCTCTTGCTAGATCGTAGGAAAAAATGAACAATAAGACTTCTCTCTCTTGCGACTAAAATGTGTGGAGAAAATGTCTTGGAAGACTAAGGGGTTGTTGGGTAACATTTTTTTTTTTTGCATCTTCAAAAAAATAAAAAACAGAGATAATTTTTGTCTCTGTTTTGTGGTAAACACAAAAACAAAAAACATGTTTGGGAGTTATTTGTGTCTATCAAATAATGAGAATAAAAATAAAAACATGTTTGGTAACTACTTCAAGTTATATATCATTTTTTAAGAAAAAATTTTATTCAATGAATCAAAGAATTAGAATAATCAAATTTTGGAAAAAAAAAACCTGACATCACACCTAGTTGGCTTTAATCCTTCAAAAATGCCCTATTGCCAATAACATTACACCAATGAACCTCCCAAAACCAACAACCATACACAAGCAATAACACGGAAAAGAAAATTAAAGAAATCCCTTTTTCTTCCTTAGCACCTTCAGACCTTGCTAGTCATGCAGTAGTAGTAGTTTCTCTTGTAGAGGGCCACGCAAATCCTGGGAATTATTTCAATCCAAAATGATAATTCATCCCAATTCCAACTCAATCTAAAATGACAATTCAATCCCAACCCCAATTCAATCCTAAATGGCAATTCAATCCCACCCCCAATTCAATCCTAAAGTAAATGACAATTCAATCCCAATCTCAATTCAATCACAAACACAACACACAACACATAACACATACACACACCCTCAGCACACAGAACACACACACACAACACACAGAGATCTGTGTGTGTATATATATAGAGAACGAGGAGATGAGATGATATCAGAGAAGGAGAAAGAGAGAGAAAGAGAAGGGGCTTACCTCTTCGTCGGTGAGAGAGAGGAGAGGAGATCGATGTTCCTTGTCGGTGACGGTGAGAGAATGGAGAGAGTAAGGCAGCGATAGAGAGAATGAGGCAGCAATGGAGAGGA